TCTGTCTCAAAAAAAAAAAAAGCTGGAAGGATTTGATGAGTTAACAGTGGTTTTCGGTTGGGGCTGATTTTACCTCCTGGGAGACACTTGACAATTTCTGGAGCCATTTATAACAGGTAAATGCTAGAACTTTCCCCTTCTTTTAAATTGCTAAACAATATAAATACTTGAAAATATTAAGATCATTGAGGACTACAGTCTAAATTTTGTACTCTTTCCCCTAGGTACCATGTAAATTCTGTGTGGTATTAAGTAGTTCCTTTGGGTTTCTGTTGATATCATGAGTGGACCAGTGGTGTAGACAAGATAGAAAAAAAGAGCTTGGAAGAGAATTAGAAATAGAAATGTAGTATGAAGAGAGAAGGTGGTGGAGAAAGAATGGGAAGAAGAGAGAGGATAAAAAGTGGTCTGTGGGTCAGTGTTAACCATGCCATAGGCTGTGTGCTCCTGCTTTCAGCTCTTAAGCTGTCCAAGGGTCTAGCAATGACCTCTTAATGCTACAGTGAAAGCACACAATGAAACCAGTTAGTTTGGGCTAAAATAGAAATGAATTGCCACCAAAATTTTACTATTTGATATACCACCACACAAGTATGTTTGTAAGTGTGGAAGGGAGCACAGCATCCTTTGTTATAATTGCTATTTAAAAAAAATAGAATATCCAGTGAGTGCTCTCACCATAAGAGCAGTTGCATTAGTGCTATCTGCCCTCTGTCGCTCAACTCCCTGATTTAATAAAAAAGCACACACACACGCGTGCATATATACATGTATAAACATTTTGTGGAAGGCATGTGGTTTTTATATAGTTCTTGTGAATTCAAAAACCCACTGAGAAGCTCTGTTTCTAATAGACTCAACATTATACACTCTAATGTATTCAACATTAGTTATAAAGTAAATGTTAAGTACAAATACTTAACAAAACAGGTAAATAACGGGGCAGATAATGAAATTTTTTGTAATAGCAGTATCGCTTGTCTGGGGCTGATTTTTGGATCACCAAATTTAAAAGGAAATAGACCCCTATTTGATGTTTACGGAACAACTGGGGCATCTTACTAATTGTGCTTCTGTGAAACTGGATCCGATCCTTGGGGCATAAATAAGAGAGTCATAGAGATTTTGTTCTAAGATATTTGTTTGGTAGTGTACTCTTCTTAGTCTATCATAAAAGCCAACAGTTTTTACCCTTTTATCTCCCAAATGCCTCTTAAAGATTTATTAGAAATTGTGCTAGCATTTAAAATAGTAGGTTCAAAACAGTGACTCTGGGAGAGTTTGAGTGTACTTCAGAACCCTTCTCAAGTTCTGTGGTGCCCTGAATGCCCTGGACAAAAAAAGATTTTTTTGCTAAGTAAGTTAGGAAAATCCTGCCTGTCCTAACTGCCTCTTTGATCATTATAGGTAATATTTAATGAGTATGTAATATGTGCCAGGTGTTGGGGTAACTGCTTTTATGCATTATTTCACATAATCTTCACAATTACCCTAATGAGACAGGTTTTTCTGGATGTGCTTTGGGAGTGGATAATGCTCTTGCTCAAGGTTACTCAGCCCACAAAAGGCATGATAGACTTTGAGGAATCTTGTCCAAGAACTTCAGCCATTGCCAATCCTCTTCCAAATGTTGCTCTTTTGTCTGTGTGCTCTAAATTAGTTACATCCACATTCATACAATGTCTGGTGCATGCTAGAATCCATCACAACCCAGGCTATTTGAAAGAGTGAGCAGAGAGCTTGTAGCAGCAAATGCTGAGGCCCCATCCTCTGGGTTTAGGTTTCTTACTTCTCTTGTCTTTCCTACCAGTAATAATTTTTCATGTTCATTATATATACAACTCTAGCTGCAGGAAGAGTTTTATTTGCTCTCATAGAGAAGAGCACTTAAGTCCTAATTACCTGTGTATCCTTCCCTTTCCTTCTCATTAATAAGACTAATCATGCTCTAATACCACTATTATTCCACCAGGGTGGAGGCAGAATCTCCACGTTTGGCTTTTCTTTCGTCCCTGTACATATTTGCAGGTGAAGACTATGACACAAATACTTCAAATGGAGTATTACTTCTTCGGAAAGCCTTCAAAGCTAAGACAACCCACATTTTATTAAATTTTGCAAGCTACACTTTGATTTTATTATAGTAAGTGAGGCTGGACTTAGACAGTTTTGTTGCAAGAGATTTTGGCCTGTTCTGGAGGAGATTGGTAGATACTAAATTATTTTCTGAGTTGACTTCATTTTAGAATTTCCAAAGCCCTCATCACTCAGACTTTCCAGCCCAGTTACCCAATGAGGGAAGGAAGGGGTAACTTCAGTGCACTTTTTGTTAGGGTCCACAAAGGTGCCCCTCTTTGCCACTGGGGGTAGGAATAGAATAAGCCTGTCTCTGAATTTCTTATTACTAATGATTCAGGCAGTTCTTCAAGGGGTGATTGAATGTAATAGAAATGTCATAGTATTATTTGGTGCTCTCATTTCTCATTACTGTAAGTTATCCCTTTTGTCCAGAATAATATCTTTTTCTTTGATGTATCATCAGATAAGAGACATTTTTTTAGAGACAGAGCTAGATGAGATATACTGAACTGTTTGCCAGGGCTAGGACCTAGAATGTAAACATCTGGTGAAATTGCACACTTTCAAGATGTTGTTGCTTCTTTATTGTCAAATTTTCTTATATAACAAAATGAGCGTGTATTAGTTGATTCGAGGTGAGCTGTGACAAAGCTTCCTATTAGCCTTTTCTTCCTGGGAAATGTTTGTTTCAGTCGTGGGTAGTGAAGCCACATCCATTTTTTTTTTAAGTGGATGGTATAAAAGGGGTGTGGGTAGCAGTTGAGTGTGGGAGGACTCTAAAAATTCAATCAAATAAAGTCAAATATTGAATCGATGGAAAAACAAGTCCAATAGCCAGTCTCATGAAATGATTTCTTTGTGGTCAACAGTAAGTTGTACTGTGCAAAAGCTTCTAAGTTTTCTGTCTTAGAAAGACAAGTCTCAAGAATGAGAAGATGGGTACCTTCTCCTCCGTATGGAAAAATGAGTAAAGGAAGGGGTTTATAGGAATGTTATGCATGCACCTTTCAGTCTTGAAAAAGAAAATGCCAGGGAAAATGAAATACACTTGAAAATTAATCTGCAACTCTTAAAAACATTGCAAGTTATTCTCTGGAACTTTCCTCTGCAGCCCTGGATGACCTCAGGCAAGCTTCCATAGATAATGATTATTCCTAATAGCCATAGTGACTCAGAACTCATGTCATTTGAAGATAGTGTAAGACACGGGTGGGGTGG